TAAAAATAATAAAATAATATATATTTTTCTAATATAAATATATAAAATAAAACAAAATTAATAAAATATAAATATATAATTATTGAGTTGATGTTTATGAAAAAAGATGATGGATTCAATTTCCAAGAAAATCAACACCCCCTGCCAAGGGGGTGCCATTAGCACTCCCCAAACCAACATTACATGGATTTGGGATATGTAATGCTTTATACCTTTTTTTTTTTTGGACTAAGAGGCCGTTTAGCTAAACACTTATCCGATAAATACTTATCAGTAAAATTCAACACTATCGCTTACTTACAGGGTAAGATTTTATTCACTAAAACGCGTCGTATGTAATAATTTATCCCGGTAAGAGTCCTCGTTCTCACTTACCGGGTAAGACTCGATTTTTGTTTTCGCTCTTACCGGGTAAGATTTTTAGTCCTTGTCATATTTCATCCGGTAAAGTCACTTGGTAAGCGCTTACCCGAATAAGCGTTTGGTAAACGGAACCTAAATTATATTAATGCAAAGAAAAAACTCTCAACTTTGGTCCGGGTGGTTTCTTGAAAATAAATTTTTTTATTAACTTAGATATCCAACCCGTTATGTGAGCCGACTAATTCCAGAACGACTATCTGCTTTGCAGGTAGCTTGGAGTCATAGTATTTGAACCTCTGTGACCACAAAAGAAATTTTTATTCCTCTTTAGATTTGAACCTGAGACCTCTAAACACTTTTGACATTTGGAGCATAAATTCAAATCAATCAGACATCACCTTTGTTATTTTGTTCCTGTGGTTTTTGATTTGAACCTAGGTGATTTGAACATTTTTTGTTCTTATAGTTTAAAATTTAAAAAACGTTTGACTTTAGTTCCTACCTTAAACGGTTTGTAAAAAATTCGTTAAATAAAAGGTATTTTTGTCATTTTAACAATTTTTATTATCTTTTACGTAATCAAAACCAATTTTATACAAACATATCTTTTATAGAGGGTAAAACTAGGGATGTAAAGGATTCAAATTTTTAACGAGCTACTCGAGCTTTAATTACTCTTGAACTCAAGTCGATCTCAAACACAAAATAAGACTCGTTTAAATTAACGAGTCGAACTTCGTGGCACCAATTTTCAACTTGACTCTTTTGAAAACTCGATTAAACTTTTCAAGTTCGGATCAAACTGAGTCATTCAAACATATACTTTTTCGAGCCAAACATGCTAATATTTTCATGAACATAGAGTAAAAATGTGACTACTACCGAGTATCGTGCTCAAACCGATATTAGTTGAATGATCGCAAATCAAACCCTTAACCGAGTAAACAAGCATCAAGCTCAAGCTCGAGCTCGATAATCTGAAAGGTATTCAGCTCGAGCTTACTTTGAAAAAGTGAATCTAGCTCGAACCCGGTATCATATTTTCGAGCCGAGCGCGAATATCATACTACTCGATTCGCCTCGGCCCATTTACATCCCAAGGTAGAACCGTAAAGACTCCTACTGGGTAAAAGCGTGAGTGAAAAGGCAACAGGGGCAAATCGAATCGAATCAAATCGAATCCAAATGGATGTTACGAACTTGAATGCATAAAATACAAGTCAACGACGAAGGTATATACAGTAAGTTTCGAAACAAGATCCACCACAACTCGAAACAACTTACGAATACGAGCTCCGATTCCGAGCACCACCCACCACTTCTTATATAATATATACATTAACGAGTACCCTTCTCGTAAAAACCATTTCAAACGTTCCGTTTCTGATCAGAAAAGCCGTTTTCAAGTAGGATTTGATCGATTAACGTATATAGAACTTACCTTCCATTTCGCCAAAATCGTTCTACATATTGTAGAAGAATCGCGGTAAAGATGCGATCCTCGGAAGGTTAAGCAGCAATTCACCAACCGAGTCCTTTCTCGACATGCCACTAACCTTCTTACCATCATCGTTTTCACCCTCGATCACTGGATTTTCACTAACAGGTTTCGTTTCGTAACTAATCCTATTGTTGTCGCTGACGGTTTTACCCTCGAGATCCTGGAAAGTTGTGGGATCTTTCTGCAACAGGCAGCAAAGAGAGTTGACTTTTGACATGACGGAGTTTTCGTCGGAAGTTGATGTTCCGTACTGAGCGTCGTTGAATAAGCATCGGCTAATGTCTTCAAGGATCTCTAAGCTTTCTTGTTCTTCACGGGAAAGAGGGTGGTGGTTGCCGGATGTTCGTTGTCCTGTGATTCGGTTTTCGATGTGGTTGACCAAATCACTCATCGACATTGAGGGCTGGATCCCGGGGACTTTGATTTGGTCCCAAAGATCAAGACCTTTCGGTCCCTCGGTCCCGGCTCGTCTGATTTCTTCGATTGCCGAGGTGTCCATAACTGGATACAGCAAAAATAAAACGTTTTTCGTAAGAACTCCTTAAAAAAATTAGATTTGTTAGAGGCACAAGTGGACTAGGTTTGATAGAAAAGGCTCTGATAAGCAGACTAAGGGTCTTTTATAGGACTCACAGCTTATTCGATAGCTACACAGGACTGTTTTGCAGAGGCTTAATGATATAAAAAATTGGCTTATTCAGTGAACTTTTAGGGGGATATCTATGCAAAAAGCCAAGTTTTTTCCAAACCCGCCCTCACAATTAAAAAACACGCTCCCTCCATCTATTAAAAAACCCTCACAATCCACACAGACAGCTTTATCCATACATGTCTTGATGGAAAACCAACCAAACAGCCCCCAAGGCTCTGATAAGCAGACTGTTGGCTGAAGACAAGTTGTTGACTGATAAGCCAGCTGATAGGAATAGTTATGTTCGGTAAAAACTAACAAAATAAATGTCCACGGTGAGAAAGGCACGGTTATAGAAATGAGTAATTTAGTACACTTTTTAATTAACTAAATAACAACTTTACCTTAATATCAGAGGGAGCAATGGATCTTTCCATCTCATAACTACGGGTAGAATTGGAAGGTAGATGCTTACTTTTAAAGTGGAAATTCATTCTAGGACAAACTAAAATAGAAAAATGCTTTAATATTGGAACAGAGAGAGTAGTTGATAAGCTTAGATGACAATGTTAGATGAACTAAAAAGACGTGTTAAGGAATTAATTGGAAAAATATAAGTCACATAACTGCAAAAAACCCTCGAGCTTATTAAAATGGTACTTGATGCATCGTTTCAAAAAGTTAAGTTGATAATAATAAACCGAATGGGGATTTTTCAATATAAGCTCAAAATAAGCCAGCTTATGGTCACCTAGACACAAGTGATTAGGTCAAGTTGAAGGTCACCTGAGCTGGGTGAAGGTGCTTCCCGAGAGAGTTCTGTAGGTCGACCAGCAGGATCATGCAACTCGCTCCTTGATGAGGACGACTGACCGCCTGATGGTGAAGCTGTTCTGCGTAAATCAAAGATGGCGGGTCCTTCTCGGCTTAAATCATATTCATTGGATTCATTTGGCTCGTCAAACACTGATGATGTCCTGGGTTCAAAATATGGGGACTCCAATTCTATCTCCGCTTGCTGGCTAAGAAAATTGAGACGAGGGTCACATTGGATCAGCTTCTCGAAGTGCTTACCTAATAAGCCTTGTGGGCATTGTAGGTAATGGCGCCTGCCGAAATGGAATATGCAAATCGATTAGACACATTCGGTATTGTCTACTAGTAACTTTTTATAATGGCTGCTACTATAACTCCGGAAGTAAATACATTCCCTTAAAAGAGAATTAAGGTTGTAATTTGTAAATGAGATATATAAGAGTATAATCAAATCGGAACCTCAAAAAGGTTTGAGAACCGTGAGAACTAGTAAATTATGCGTTGTTTCATATTGTGTAAACTACAATTTTGGTCCTGTGGTTTACAGACAAATCACTTTTTAAGCAAAATGCAAACCACATTGACCATTACTATACTTAATGAAGTTTAGGGACTTTGTTCGTAGTTGTATGTAAACCACAGGGACCAAAATTGTAGTTTACTCTAATCAAATCGGAGCCTCAAAAAGGTTCGAGACGTTAGAGAACTAGTAAACTATATGTGGTTTCACATCGTGCAACAAAACATACGGAACATGTAGTGTTGTTGATATTGTGAAACAAAAGATGCGCGTAAAAAAGTTTCACATTGTGAAACAATACCTTGATTAAATTCTAGCCTTAGATGATTTTCAAAATCATGTGAAACAATACATTTAAGATTGGTTCTCACGGGTTTGTAACCTTTTTGTGGTTCTCACATGATTAGCCCCATATGTACTCTTGATGTTGATGTGTGTGAGGGTGGTACTAATATGTAGGCGTGCATTTAGCCTACCCCTACAATAACTAGAAGAATGTACCTGTGCAGGCTAGCCTGTCCACCTGTAAAATCCGAGGTTGCTTGCCATAATGTATGCTTTCTTGGCTGGGGATTCGTCTCTCTAAAGAAGAGAGGCTGCCTTGTTAACTGCAGAGAAAAGAAATACCATCGACTCTATTATTATCGTTTTGAGGTAATTATATAGTGAGAGCAGAAACAGCCTATCTACCACCGCTTCAGGTAGAGGCAATGTCTACGTACACCCTCCCTAGACTCTCCCTCTGAGTGAGATTTATAGGGTAGTTTGTTTTAAATAGTTGAGAGAGTAAAGGTAATTGATGAATTAAGATTACCACTACATCCAGAGTGCCAGGGCCATCATCTGGATACGTTGCCTTCAAAGCCATAATGTCGGACCACTGAATTTCAATCTTGTTCTTGAGGCCACCATCAAGAACTTCCCACACGAGCTTATGCTTTGCAAAGTAACACTTGGCCACAAGGTCCCCTTCATATCTTGATTTATACTACAAAACCATGAAAAGTAGGTCAATCTCAAACTCTAGGTAGAGGGAAGACCTACATAAGAAAGTAGAGTGGCACGGGTCATGGTTCCATCGTAATGGAAAATATTATGTTTTTGAAGGTTGCCACCGTATTCTTTTTGTTGGGTGCCCTTATATTTTTTAAAATTAAACTATTGGCACAACTTCTGTGGAATTTCCAACTTTTCAGCCAAAATTTTGGTGTTCTTTATATACTTTTTGTGTTTTTTAAAATAATTTGAAGACAGGACTCGAACACTGGTTCCTTTTGTGCAGGGACAAGGAAACAACCAACAAAGAAATACTAGTAATTTTGTAGAAATTTTCTATAGATTTTTTTCTAATAGCTAAACCGTGCCACCACTTAGAGAAATACATTGAAACACTTGTTTGAAATTCTTCAAAATGGAAGGCATGTTAACAATGAAGTGGGAACTTACCTCCCAGGTACCAATCTTAAGAAGTGATGCCGGAAAGTTTGAAGCCTTCAGCTTATCAGAAGCAGCAGAAGAAGCAATGATTTTGGTCCCTTTCTTACCATCAGCTCCAATCTTAGAAGAAGCATTCCCTTCAGCGAGCCTCATCTGAATCAAATCCAACAAAGACGGACTCTTCCGAAGCCGCAGCCCCAATGGACTCGGTTCATCCAATGGATTGAACTGTGCCGGTGATACAGGAAAACTACCCATTCCAAAATCTTGCTGCTGGAAAAAAGAGAGACGGAAGAAATTAATTTACAATAGACAATAGGGAAATTGTACAAAACAGCCATTTTTTTACCCCCTATTCACTTCATATCCATTTTTCTACATAGTTGACCAAAATAGGCAAGCTATCGCAGTAGCCATTTCTACTTGCGAAATCTTGGCTACTTTGGTCAATTGAGTAGAAAAAAACGTCTATAAAATGAATTGGGGCATTCTTAACGCCTTGGATCTCCATGTCTATGGAAAAAAGTGTCATCCAAATGCTCTTCTAATTACGTCAACTGTTTGATGTGAAGGTGTTGGAGATTTGTGGCGGTTTAATCCTCTGCAGGTATTTGTTTTGTTTGTACAAACAGCGAATCATTTCAAACTGATAATCTAAGCAAAGAGAGGCAAAATACTTATCATAGACATCAATCTATAGATGATGATGCTCTTCGAATCGGAGGAGCACTAAAAATTGATGGAAGAGTTTTTTCCCTTGATCATGACTTGGTACTGTAATGTTAGGATTAAAGACCCCTAAAATTGACTAGTTCTTCTTCCCCCTCCATAGAACTGCAAGTTTGAACGATGCCCTAAATTTCCACGATATGAAGTTCAATCTCTCTAATAACCAATTACTACCGGAGACTATAATTTCCATAACAGAACCAAATATGTGTAATTAATTCGTAAATTAAACCCTAAAAGCACAATGATCAATTACAGAAGCATAATATCAATTTGCAATGCCTATACTTCATTTCTACATTACAGTACCAAGTCATAATCAACAAAAAAAAACTCCTCTGTTAATTCTTAGTGCTCCTTCGATTGAGATCGATGTCTACGATGTGTATTTTGCCTCTCTTATCTTAGATTATCAATTTCAAATGATTCACCGATTTCTAAGAACAAAAAAAAAAAAAAAAAACATACTTAGATCGCTAAAAACAAATTTGATAATAACAACCACAAAATAACCTTAGATCGCTTGTTTAGATGGCTGTATTGTTCATCGTATTGAATAAATTCCTCTGCCATCTCTCTCTTCACCGGCGCCATTTTTCCACGCTGCTGAAACTGAGATTCCGGTGAAACCTTGGTGGTTTTCATCATTTGAACCATCAAAATATTCCGATCAACTTCGCAAACCTTAACGGCGATTAATTTACCGGTTCCTTTGTTATCTTCTTTTTTCCGGTGATGGAAAACGATGAGCTAAAACTGAGTCGACTCGGTGAAACGGACTGAGTGAGAGAATAAGCGACCTTTCGTCTGGAGGAAAGCTGTAACAAAAAACCAAGAGTATGCTTCTTTTAAACGACAGCGCATTTCATCAAGTTGGGGGGTTGGGGGTTGAGAGTGTGGGTTTGATTTTTACGCGCTTACATAGTCACGTGCGCCCACCTTTGCTATAGTAAAAATTTAGAATTTACACTTAACCCCCTTCATTTTCAAATATATTACAAATTTGACTAATACTTCACTTGATGGGCAAACTAAGGGCTTGTTTGTTAGCAGCTTAACGAGACCGACAACTTATTCAGTCAGTTATGCATGATTATTCAAGGGTTAATTAATGATATAGAAAGTGGCTTATTCAGTAAGCTTTTTGGATGAAGTTTAATGGAGAAGTTTTTTCTAAACTTGTTCGTCTAATCAAAGAACACGCTTATTTCATCTATAAATAAACACTCCTAAACAAAAAACCTTTATGATCTATACAGACAAATTAATCAACACATACAGCTTTATCCATATAGGACTTCATGTAAAGCCAATCAAACAGTCGCAAAATATAACAAAAGTCATTGTGTTTGGGAATTTGAGATTCTAAGCCAAAAAAGTGTTGCAATGTTTCATCATTGGGAAATTATGCTTATTCTTTTTATCATAAAAATGCCAATGCATTCAGGTTTTTACAGGGTTTTGTGATGAAATTCAGTTATAAAATACCTTCATCAGCATTATCAAGTATCTTTCGGCTTTCAAGCGTGTATTGAACAGGGTCGATCTTTATCGATGCTGATATTTTTTATGTATGTCAAACTTGTATTTGATCTGTGTCGTGTTCCTATCAAACACTGTAAATGACAAACAGAAACTTATAATATATTCATTTATATACAATCCAAAAGTATCACATCGAACACGATGAATAGTTGTTTCTAATAAATAAAAAGATAATCTAACAATCAGATATCAGAAGAAATAAGAAAAATATAATAGGGGATGATGAATTAAACTATACCAAACATCAACAAATGCTTAAGCATACAGGGATTTTCCCATATTTTTTTTTCAAACGGTGGCACCATTTGGCTATAAGAAACAAATATAGGGGAAAAAAATCAAATGATGGCACCATTTGACTATAAGAAACAAATGTAGGGAGAAAATTTTAAACTGTGCATCATTTGGCTAATAAAATGACACTAACAAGATTCGAACTCGGGTCTGGGATGGTATAAAAACCTTGCAAATCAATTCTACTAAAGAAAACTTGTTCACATTATAATTTCAAAATACATACGGTGACACACAACAAATTAATACAGTTGTTCCTTTTCAGGAACCTAACTTTTTTTTACCATTCGACGGAGAAATAATACAGTGACACTTGCCACCGTTGGCATCATTGTAGGTCCGTCCATATGCATATATATGACACGGAAAATGACAATACAGTGATGCAGGTACGTCGATTGATTTTTTTTAAAGAGATGTTATGTTGAAACGGTTTAGGAGTTTCAAGCGAGGAGGAGATGGAAACCGACACGTGGGGGTTAATGGGTGGGTACTTTTGAGAACATGAAATAAAGATGAGCATAAATTTCCATTAAAGAAACATTGGTACGTTTCGTATAGAAACTCAAATTTTCTGTATATTTTCACAAATTGTCCAGTTACGTAACGCAAATAGGAACGATCTTTAGTCATATTAGTACTCCTATCATATTAATTACATCATATTCATTCAGTTTTAAGTAGGGCGAATTGCATGAAAAGTAACATACTTTAACTTGATTCCTATTTGAGGTAACGTACTTTCAGAACTTCTATTTTTGTACCTAAGATGTAAAATTTTAAACATTTAAGTATCCGGGTGATCGGTTGAAACATTAATCAGTTACCATGTTGATATGTCGAGTGATGTGGTATCCAGTTAATACTTCAACCGGGTACTTAAATGTTTAAAACTTTACATCTTAGTTATCAAAATGAAAGTTTTGAAAGTATGTTACCCAAAATATATATCAAGTTAAAGTACGCTACTTTTTCATGCAATTTGCCCTTTTAAATACGTTAAGTAACACAATTAATTAATGAACAGATATAGTTAACATTTTATTTATTAAGTTATTTTTCTCTTTTTCACTCTTGTTTTAAGTATACCATTTATCTGAGTTTCTTTGATTACATCCTTCCAGATATTTATATTATGGATATGATCATAAAAACATATCTGATTTACATCGTTTTCTTTTACAGTTTTGTAATTTAAGCTTACAACAATAACTGAAACCTACCTTCTTTCATTTGTAGGAAACACAATGAGAATGACACTGATCACTTATAAGTTGTTTGGTTGGTTTTTTATTAAGTCATGTATGAATAAATGTATCTGTGTGGATTAATATGTTTGTAAAGAATAAGAAGATTTTTGTTTACGATAGTTTTTTCCATAGATGAAATAAACGTGTTTCTTCATTGAAGTGATAGGTTTAGAAAAACTTGATTTTCTACATAAAACTTATCTATAAAAGCTTATTGAATAAGTCATTTTCTATATCATTAACCCACTATCAAACAGTCATACGTAGTTAACAGAATAAGCTGTAAGTCTTATTAAAACTCATTAAGCTACTAATAGACAGACCCCTTTGTGAACAAAATATATAATCGTAAAACCTTTACTTTAATTATGACCATTTTGTAAAAATGAAAGACAAATAGAAGAAACAATGGTGGCGATTAAAAGTTGAGGGGGTTATTTAACATTTACATAAAACTTCAGGGGGTGTATCGATATATAAGAAGGCTCTGGAGACTGGATAAAATATGTGGGCCATGGTTCGCCATGAGTCCGGCGGCTGTGATCAAATGCGTAGGAGCAACGTGTCAAAATTTGAGGGCACGTATTGGACACGTAAGCAATTGGGTTGGATGGCGTGTACGATTTTTCTGGATAATGTTTTGTATGATTGATCGCTATTTTGTCGTTTTCGGAGATTTTGAGGCTCACGCACGCAGACACTGTTTCACGACGGACGCAAACTCACGCGCTTATTTTTAATCGTGGATGCTTTTCTATATTCGACCAAGTAAGTTACATAAATGGTCCTTTTACTATTGGTTTATTACAAATTTTTCCACTATCTTTTTAAAATTACATTTGTGCATACCATAGATTTTGATTTAGGGGTTGTCTTATAAAAACGTGTGTTGTAAATGCATTGGAAAAGTTGAA